TAAGGGTATATCTGGAGTTAAACTATTTATGTTATAAGATTTCTTAACTACATCATTCAGGTAAGAAATTAAATAAATTAAAAAATTATAATGTTATGATAAGAACATATTTATTTTTAAAAAATAATAATTAATATAATTTTAATAATTTTTTAAAAATATTTAAGATTTGATCATAGAATTATTTATATCTAATTAATTTAATTTTTTATATAAATGATATACTCACTAAATTTTTTAAAATAAATAATTTAAATTATCAAAATAAACTAAAAAAATACTCCTAAAAATCTACGCCGTAGGACTGCTGTGCCAGTTCTCATTGGATGAAAAATGTATAGCTGACAATTTTTAGCTTCTGTTGGCAAGACAAGACCAGTGCTAAAGTCCAAAAAAACAACGAGCACCGCGTGACAGGTTTTTTACAGCACCCTCAGTCTCACGTGGTTTTTCGCGCCACATAAATTAACAAAGTTATCTCTCACGGCTGAGTAAACGAAAATGGAGACAATTGAATGTCTACCAAACCTTACGTCAACTTCAACTGTTTTGTTCTCTCTCTCTCTCTCTCTCTCTCTCTTCTCTAAATTAATTCAAAATTTAATAGAATAATAAATTTAACATATTAAGGGTTGGTTTGGCATAGACTATATAATTCATCTTTTTATTTTTTTATCTTTTTTCCATCACATCATTTCTCTATTTTTTTGCACATCTTTTCGTAAAAAGATAAAAAGTACACTTTTTTAGGATACCCCAAACCAACCCTAAGTAAAAAGCTTTGTTTATAAAAAATGTTAAATTGACATAGGTTAATTTGTCATCAAAATCTTCAAAAACAATTTAAAGATTTGAATGTAGATTTTTTTTTTTTTTGTGTTTAAAGAGAACCATTATTGAACTACCAGTAACCCGTCCATAGTTCTTTGTCTTGCAATAGTTTTCCTTTATTTGTTATTTCTGTGTTCGTTTTTAAATCAGATTTGCTGCTGAGGAAGAAGTCATTAGTGTAAAATAACTGATGTATTATTATTGATGTATTGAAAAATATTACAAGATTGTTGTCTATGTTGATTTGTGATGTTACAAGCTATTATATAGGAGAGGTGTGAGGTAAGTGAGTGGTGGTAGTGGATGGTAGTGGAGGTGGTGGGTGGTAGTGGAGATTCCATAGTTCTTTGTCTTGCAATAGTTTTCCTTTATTTGTTATTTCTGTGTTCGTTTTTAAATCAGATTTGCTGCTGAGGAAGAAGTCATTAGGACTGCTAAGGAATGTGCGATTTTGAAGTCAAATCATTTGGGATTTCCACAAGGGGAACAAAATTGTTTGTAAATGCCTAGTTTCGTAGGCATATTCATTAGCAAGTGGATCGGTTCCAACTTTCAATCTCCAGGCACAGCAGAGACGGGCCTTCACTAGAGATGGATTTTAATTTTAAAGGAATCTAAACCTGCTATCTGGTTAGTATATAACTGTTTGATGTTAAAAACCCATGTTTAGAGATGCTTTTTCTGCTCTTATCAATTGCAAATGAAGTGCAAATGAAATCCATGAAATGTAATCAGTTTTATCATAGTGTATAACTCTTTAGTACTTTTTTTAAATGTGACAATGTGACAGTATAATGTGACACTTCAAAAAAAAATAAAAAACTTTTAGTGTACTTTTCTCAAATATGACAATGTAGCGGGTATAATGTAAAAAAATTAAAAATTTCTTACCAAATGTGACATGTGACACTCTAATGACGGGTATGATGTAACACTCTTTAGTGTACTTTTTTCAAATGTAAATTTTCAATGTGACGGGCAAATGAATCATTATACATCTAAAAGGACTAAATGGATCACAATAAAAAATATGAAACTATATGAATTACAAGTCCAAAATATAAGACTTATTAGTCAATCTTCCTAAAAAAATTATTAAAATCATGTTATAATATGATTTTAATAATTTTTTTAAAAATATTTAAGATTTGATTATGAAATTATCGATATCTGATTAATTTAATTTTTTATATATAAATAATATACTCGATAAATTTTACAATATAAATAATTCAAATTATCAAAATAAACTAAAAAATACCCCTAAAAATGTTGATAGTAAACTGCTGTGCCAGTTCTCATGGGATGAAAAATGTATGGCTGACGATTTTTAGCTCCTATTGGCAAGACAGGACCAGTGCTAAAGTCCAAAGAAAACAAAAACAAGGACCACCACGTGACAAGTTTTTAAGAACACTTTTAGTGCTCGTCTGTTTTCCACTATCACAATTTATTTTGAATTGTTATAGATGAATAATAAATAAAGTTCTCATTTGTTTTGATTTTGGAGGTTGGGATTTGTAGTCTGAACCAATTATGATAGGTCTTGGTGAGGTGTAACAGTCCGGGCTGTGAGATAGTATTAGTAAAATAATCCGTTTGGATTGGGTGTGATCGGATGTCTATCCTAAAGTCCGGTCAATCAGCCGGTCAACTGAATTTTTTTTTTTTTAATTTTTATTACTTGTTGGGCATTTTTTTTAAACATTAATGTTTAATGTTTATATTTTTTGTTAAGTAAAAATCATAATTTTATTTGTTTCATTATTCTATATAAAAATAATTTAACAATTCTCACACCAATAACTATCATTAAAATAAATACGACTTTACTAACTCCCTTACTATCAATTCCCTCACTAACAATCTATTCACTATTAATTCTATTCATTCTACCTTTGAAAACAGACACGAGACCTCAGTCTCATGTAGTTTTTGAACTATTGTGATATGCAAAGGGTGTTACGTGAGAGATTTGATAGAAAATTTAATAAATTATTAGAGATATTTAACATAATTTTTTCCTATATAAATTTTTAAAAAAAATATTATTTTGTCTCTTAAACTATCACTAAAAAAATAATTCAACATATATTCTTTTAATAATATCAAATTTATATCTAAACTATTTGATTTTGCATTAATTTTACCTCCACCGTCAAGTAGAAGTTGTTGATTTGACACTCAAACTTTATTTGAAATTTAATTTTACCCTTGAACTATTCCCAAAAAATCAGTTAAACCCCTAAATAAAATGAAGTTTGAGAATCTAATTAATATTTTAGAGATAGTTTGTGAGGTAAAATGAAATTTGAAACGAAATTTTAGTGTCACGTCAACAACTTTCGTTTGATTATAAACGAAAGCTAACGATATGGGTAAAATTGATTTAAAATTAAATAGTGTAAGTGTAAATTAATATTATTAAAAGAATAGAGTTTGAATTAATTTTTAAGTGATAATTTAGGAGACAAAATAATATTGCATCTAATTTTTATTGGCTATTTTTAATGACTTGTCCAATTTAGATTAATGGTCCATAAGATCCAAAAATAAAAAAGGGAAAAAGGGATTCTTGTGGAAGTCCAGATCATCTTTAGCTTCTCTCTCCGGCTGTTCTTCTGAGTCACAGCTCAAATAGAGCCACGTCACTTATAAAAAAATACAACAATGATTCATCTCACTAAAAACATCACCACTAATAGCACTAATGCATTAAAAAAGTAAAAAAAAAAAAAAAAATACAACCAAAACATCACATCATTAATGGCGGGACTAGAGATGGCAATTTAAAACCGACCCGATGGGGACCCGACCCCCCGATCCCGAATTGAGTGGGTTTTCCCCGAAAAATATCCCCGACGGGACGGGGATGATGATTGAAAATCAATCCCCGAACAGATTCGGGCCGGGGACGGGGATCAGTGTTCCAGTCCCGTACCCGGCCCGGCCCCAGCCCCGATCCCCGGCCCGGTTTTATCCCCGATGTTAAATTACAATTTTACCCTTACATATATATATATATATAAACCAACCAGGTCAGTCCTCTCACCTCTCATTTCTCTCTACCCGTTTCTGTCTCTCATTTCTCTCTACGGTAGACTCTACCTCACTGACTTCTCTCTCTCTCAAATCCACCGCCGAGCCTCGCACCACCACGGCCGACCACCGCCGAGCCTCGCACCACCACATCGCAGCTCTCATCCACTCCCTCTCTCTCGACGAGCCTCGACCACCAGATGAGATCTTTTTTTTTTTTCTTTTTTTTTTCAGATCTGTTTCAGATCTGATTCACAATTTCTTTTTTTTTTTAGATCTGTTTCAGATCTGTCTCAGATGAGTTGTATTTTCTGATGATGTTGTTGATGTTGTATTTTCTGATTGTTGATGTTGTATTTTTGGATGATGTTGTTTATGTTGTTGTATTTTCGGATGTTGTTTCAGATCTGTTTCAGACTAATAATTTTGTTTCAGATCTGTATTTTCTGATGATGTTGTTGTTGTTGTTGTTGTTGCCGGTGCAATGTTCGAGATTGTATTTTCTGATTTTTTTTTATTTTTAGCCGGGGAATGCTCGGGGTGGGGGAAACCCGATCCCCGTTGGGGCGGGGGTGGGGGCAGGGATAGGTTCCCCGTCGGGGATCGGGGCCGGGGCCGGGGGAAATTCTACCATCGGGGATCGGGGACGGGGAGTGCGATCCCCTGGCCCCGCCCGCCCCGCCCCGCCCCGTTTGCCATTCCTAGGCGGGACCCACTGCCACCTAATTAGTGGGAGCACTAATTAGTGCTCCCAATCATTTTTCAAAAAATAAACGAATCAAATTTATTTCTTTAAAATAAAAAATTTCAAAACACACCACACTGAATCATTCCCTTTTCCTTACACTCCTCCCTCGCGAGCGGATCCTCTAGAGTAACTCTCTAGAGTGATCTCCTAAAGTGGATGATCGGACGGCTGTGGTTAAGCCTCACCAAAACGACGTCGTTTTGGTGAAGACTTTCAAAAAAAAAAAAAAAAAAAGAAAACCCAGATTCGGGGAGAGGAAGAAAGAAGAAAAAAATTTGCAGAGTTGCAGATTGAGAGGGAGGAGGAAGAAGAAGAAAATGGATTTGAGAGAAACGGAAGAAAACAGATTTGAGGAAGAAGAAAACTCTGGGTTTGAGAGAAAATGGGTGGATTTGCAGAGAAAATGGGTTTGAGAGATGAAGAAGAAAATGAAAGTTCATCCATGGCGATGAACTTCTTGAGAGACCAAACCCATTAACCCTCTCGACTCGATCTGCAACTCTGCAACTCTGCAAATTTTTTTTTTTTTGGGTCTGGCTCACAGAAGAGTTGCAGAGTTAAATGTACCCAACACAGCAAAAACAACTTTTTTTCATGGACTTCCAATTTTTCTGAGAGACCAAACCCATTAATCCATTAATCCAATGGTCTGGCTCACAGAGTTTAATGTATCCAATTTTTTCATCCATGGATTTAATGTATCCAATTTTTTTTTTTTTTTTTTGGGTCTCGACTCGATCTGCAACTCTGGCAACTCTTCTTCTTCTTCCTCCTCTCGATTCGATCTGCAGCAACTCTGCAAAAATTTTTTTTTTTTTTTTTTTTGGGCTGGCTCACCAAAACGACGCCGTTTTGAAGAAGGATCATCTCAGCCGTTGGATACATTAATGGGCACGTGTTGCACCATGAGGGATCACTCTAGAGAATCACTCTAGAGGATGACTCTAGAGGATCCGGACTCCTCCTCCCTCTCCCTCACTGCACGCACATGTCACGGGTGACATCTCACTCTCTCTCTCTCTCTCTCTCTCTCTCTCTCTCTTCTATATAAAAAAATTTAAAAATTGTTAATCTTTTTCATTTTATTTTCATAATATATATATATATAATTTTTAATATAAAATTTTAATTTTATAACATTGATATCATTGAAAATATACCTTTAAAATGAGACTAATATTAAATATATTCAATAACAAATTAAAATAAATAAAAATAATTATGATGTTTAGTTATGTTTTAAATTATTATTTTTTAAATATAAAAATTAATTTGATGAAATAAATACACAAAAATCATATATTTTTGAAATTCTCAAAAACAATTTTCATTCCAAAAAAATCATATGAAATAATAACTTTTAATTTAATTTATTAACCAAACGAGTTTATAATTTTTTTTAAAGAAAATAAAAATTTCAAAAATATAACTTTTAACTCGTGTTTTAAAGAAAATAAAAATTTACATCTATGCCAAAAAGTCATTATTTTCATATATATTTTTTGGAATGAAAATTATTTTGGAGAATTTAAGAAATATATAATTTTTGTGTGTTTATTTTCATCAAAATAATTTTTATATTTAAAAAATAATACTTGGAAAGCATAACTAACATAGTACTGTAATTACCTTTTATTTATTTAAATTTTTATTAAATATATTTAATATTAGTCTTATTTTAAAAGTATAATTTTCAATGATATTAATTTTATAAAAATAAAAATTATATATATATTATGAAAATAAAATGAAAAAGATTAAAATAAAATAATTTTATTTATTTTTATTAAAATGTGATAGGGAAAGAGTATGTGTGATTTTAATTTTTTTTTTTTGTTAGAATGTGATATAGAGAGAGGGAGTGTGAGTTGTGAGTGGTGTGTGTCAGTGACGGAGAGAGTGTGTGCGCGCGCTGTAACTTGTAAGTGTGTGTGTGTCACTGGATGTGTATTGTTTTTGTTTAAAGAAATAAATCTGAACCGTTTATTTCTTTATAAGTGATGTGGTTTTATCTGAACCGTCGCCGGAGGGAGAAGTTAGTGAGGATCCGGACTCTTCTTATGGATAGCACTACACCATTTTTTAGACATATATAACAAAGTAGTTGACCATATGAATCGAAATTCATTCTGTTCTCATCTACAAATCCCAATTCCTCAAATCTAAGCATAGTTCAATTCCAAGTCTGGTGACTCTTCTTTGCATAACAAAACTTGCACTCAAAGGTAATACTTTTCTCTCTCTCTCTCTCTCTCTCTCTCTCTCTCTCATAAGTAGCAGCAAGCAACAGTAACAATATTCTCTCAAATTCTATCTTTAGATGGGCATATCCTTGCACACCTCCTGGCTGCAACCTCCATTGGAGTCATCTCTGCCACTGCGTTTCACTACTACCATCGACAAAAGCCCCCAAAACAGTTAGAAGATCAAACCGTAGTTCCATTGTTAGAGAGGAATGAGTCTGGCCGTGTTGCCAGACTTGAGAGATTCTCCAATTATGTTGGTAAAAAATCTATTCATCTCCATTCTTCTTCTTTTTTTTTTCATAATGTTTTTCTACTTTACAACAACAAAATGTTTTCTTGTTTTTGTTTTTTGATTTTGGGGATGGGGATGGATCAGCTAGGCAGATAGGATTTGAAGATGGAAGTGAATGTCCCCAACTTTGCAAATTAGCATATGAGTACCTCAAAAAATCCAAAGAGTGTGAGAGTACTATCTATGAGTATTTTGCTGATGAGCCACATGTTGATGAGCTGTATGTGAAGTTGGTTGAGGAGTTTGATAGGTGCATCCTTGCCTACTTTGCATTTCATTGGAGCCAAGCTTCTCTCATGATCACTCAGGTATATACATATATATGTGTTTATAAATGTTTCAACATAAATGTTTGGTAGGTGAGAGTCATTTTTAAATTAGGTCCCACTATATGTGTATGTTTTTATAAATGTTTCAACAACAATATTAGGTAATTGAAAATTTAATTAGAAAATTACTCAATTTTTTTTTTTTTTTTTTTTGATGATGGGGATTCATTTCAGGTTGGGCTTTCTGATGTTTGAATGCTTATTTTTTTGTGTTTTTGCAAATGTTTCAACAGCAATGTTAGGTAATCAGAAAAATTTAATTAGAAAATTACCCAAAAAAAAATATTAATTGATTGAATTTCATTTCAGATTGAACTTTCTGATATTTCAATTGCTGAATTTTCATTTCTCCGTGAAAATCTTTCATTCATTTCTTCTTCTTCTTCTTTTATTTATTTTGGGGATGTGTGAATTGCAGGTGTTGAGTATTGATTCTGAAAGAAAAAGTTGAAGGACCTTGTGCTGGCAGCTACAAGGTGACCTGTACTTATCTTGCCAACGCATCTGTTGTTTTTCATGAATAATGTTACTTGGAGAGACAGCTAAATTATACAATAATTCAATACGCTTAAAAATATATATATTAAAAATATTTAAAATTTAAAATACATAAATCAACGTCATTTTGACTACAACCCATATCACACCTATTTAAATTTACAATATAAATTCACTTTTTGAATTATTTGTTAAGTGCATAATATTTCTGCTATAAATTATGTGTCCATTTGGAACTTTATTTTTTTAGTGGTGTGGTGTGTTGTTTGAAATGATTTTTTTAATTAAATAGATAATTGTAGAAGAAAAAATAATTAATTGATGTATATGATATCACGATTTGACTTTTTATTTTTTAAAAAAAAGAGTTAATTTTTAAACTAAAAAAATTGATTGCCAAACGGCCTGTAACAAAAATTTATGGCACCTTTAATAATTATGTGGGGGAGGTCACGTGCTTAGTCATGTAAAAATAAACGAAATATAATTGCTCAAGTAGACCTAGAATATTACAAAAAAATTATTATTTTAAGAACAGAAGAAGTACACGTGATTAATTAAACAATTGAGGTGGTTTGCAATTTTTAGTAATTTTTAA